CTTTCTCATTTCATTTGATATATTTGCCCTTCTTTCTTTATTGATTTTCTTCTTGGGAGTCTTACCAAGTGAGGTGTGTTCTCTGTGTCACTGATTCAATTTTATATGGTGTCAATTTTCTTCATGGCTCTCAGCACAAATTTAAATGTTGACATTGCATTTTAGCTTCCTGTCAGTACTTCTTTTTTCTCATCTTCTTTATTTATTTTTGTGGACAGTTACATTTTTTAAAAGTTTTTTAATTCTTTTTTTTTTTTTTTTAAATGAGTCAGTAGGACAGGGAGAGAGAGGTACCCTTGAGGGTCCTGCCTCACAGCTAATCCTTTCCCCCAGCCTCCTAGTTAGGCAGGACCCTGGGTTTGCATGGGCAACCCAGGGTGTTTAGGCTGACCTGGGAGCTGAACCCAGGCCTTCTGCATGGCTCCAGGGTCTCGCAGTGGTCCCCTGCCACCTGTGCCATTATCACTGGACTCACACTCACATCTTTAATCGTAAGTTGGTTACCTTCTAGTCTCTCTAATTTCCTTTTGTTTCATAGAATTCATTTTTAAATTTTTATTAAGAATACTGACCAGTCATGTTCTAACATTTAATAGTTTTTCATTATGAATGTATTTTAAACTATGATTTTCTCTGTATCTTTTTTAAAGGTTAATTTTTTTTTTCTCCTGGGAAAGAGAGAGAGACAGTCATGACAGAGTTTCATCATGCCATGAGCCCCTATCCCCCGCCCCACCTGGCCTTGCAGCCAGCAGGATCTTGGGAGATCATAGGCATGGCATGCTTAGGTCAACTACAGTCTGAATCCTAAGGTCTCCATATGGCTTCTAGCATTGCAGAGCAGCACCCTATCTCCTATGCCACCATGGCTGGGCCTCTTTATCTTGAATACTGTATGCTTGTTTTTAATACTATTTCTTTCTTTTTAAAAAAAAAATTAAAGAATTATTTATCTAATTTTATTCATTCATTCACTTATTATTATTATTTTATTTGGCCAGAGAAAAACACACAGAGAGAGAAAGAGAGAGGGAAGTGAGCCACCAAGTCTGGGACTCAAACCGTGGTTGGCCATGTGGGAGTGTCCAGCGCCTTAACCACCACTCCACTGCTGGCCCCCAATATACTAATTCTTTCTTAAAATTATATTTTTTTCTGTTTTTTCAAGTTTAAAAGGGTCATATCCTATCTAATTTTAGATTTGTCAATAGATAGTGTAGATGGATCCTTCTTTGTCCATCATCATGTGGCTTGGAACTCTTGGAAGTATTTGGATTCTTTTCAAAATGTTAGAGAGGTGAAATCATGACTGCTATGAAAACTGCCAGTTGCAGTTGAGATCTGTGGGTCTCTGTTCAGCTGACAAGTAACTTCCATTCTGTCTTCTCTTTCTAGCCAACACGGTAAGAGTAATATCATTGCTAGATTACCTGAATTCATACGGATTTTTTTTCAAATGTAGACAGTAAAGAAAGCTACAAGATCTAATATCTCATCCCTGTTTGGCTTCTTTTATTCTTCCTTTGTATCACAAGATGCTGTATTTTATGACCAGAATTCTTCCTTTACAAATTATGGTCCTAGGATGGATGTAGAAAGATAAGTTCTGATAAACTGTAAAGCAGTGTAGGGAGATAACTCTGAGGTAGCGGCAAGCAGTGTTGATACCAGTAATCTTCCAGCCTCCTTCCAGTTGGCCTACCTTGTCTCTCTCTCTCTCTCTCTTTTTTTTTTTCTTTTTTTGAGAGTTTTTTGCTATAAGGGTGCATGCACTCGCCAGGAAGACAGAGAGAGAAAGAGAGACAGAAAGTGAGAAATCACCCCTGGGTGGTGGCCATGCTGCAATCCCTTCTCCTCCATTCTCCTCTCGAGATCTTGGGCACACATGCACACAGGCCCTGCATGAGTTTAAACCACTGAGTCTGGGACTCGAACTACGGTCAACTACATGGGAGTCCAGCAACATAGGCATAACACCAACTGCTGGTCCCGGCCTACTTTGTCTCTTAATCCTATTTATGGAAATATTTCCTGGGTTCTAGCTGAACACTGGCCACTATTTTTGTTCCTGGTGCTTTAAAATTTTTGTGCCTCTTTTGGTATTTCACACAATGTTGAAACTAGACCAAGCAGGCAATAGCTAGTAAGTATCACCTTAACATGAATGTTTGAGGAATTCATGTAATGTTTAATGATGTCTTTGTGATATTTTAAGTGGGTGGCCAGAGAAGGATTTATGAATCATCCATAACGCTAATGTAGGTTGAAAACTTATAAATTAACAAGGAAGAAGGGAACTCTAGAGAATGCCACAAAGAAAAGAGGGGTAGAAGATGAGGGAAGAATGGGAACCAGCAGTTGGTGTACTGGCTATGTTGCTGGACTCCCACGTAGTCAACCGCGGTTCGCGCCCCAGACCCGGTGGCTTAAAACTCACGCCGGGCGCATGTGCATGCGTGCCCAAGATCCTGAGAGGAGAATGGAGGAGAAGGGATTGCAGCGTGACCATCCCCCCTGGGGGGTGATTTCTCGCTTTCTGTCTCTAATGTCTCTCTCTGTCTGTCTGGCGAGCGCACGTGCCCTATAGCGAAAATCTCTCCAAAAAAAAAAAGATGAGGGAAGAATGAATGTGATAAAGTCAGACAGATGACATGGGGCAAGAACTATATAATGCCCTTCAATAAGAGAAGGCAAAACTCCACAAAGATTAATTCGTTTAAAAATATAAAACACTTCAAGAAGTCAAGAGGGATGAATGATTGGAAAGATCATCTAATATTAAGAATTGATGTGACATTGACCACCTTTGAGAACTGTAACAAAGTTATTGAATCAAATGAGTCATTCTTGAATAAAGAAGAACTGAATTTAGGTGCATATCAGTTCTTGTATGTGTGTTAATATAGAAGAAAGCCTCAGAAGACTGAAATTCCTTAAATGTTTGTATTTTACAACTGAGCACAGTGCTTTGTTCTATGATAGTCGTAGATTATTTTAACTGATGGGAATCTATTCCTTTAAAAAGGCTTCTCAGGCTGGCCCCATGGCCTGGTGGTTAAGGGAGTCAGATCCCACATGGCAGACTGTGCTGTTTGAATCTCATACCAAGCAGATGGAAAAACACACTGGGTGAATGTTCATGCATGCATGCCCCAAATTCTGACAGGATGGAGAAGGGATTGCGGCTTGACCATACTCCACTAGAGGTGCTTTCTCCCTCTCTGTGCTCTCTGGTGAGTACATATGCCCTTTGGCAAAGTAAAAAACAGAACAAAACAAAACAAAACTTCCCAAATAATGTCACAGCCTTACATAATATAATCTTTTTTTTGGAGAGGATTTTGCTATCGGGCGCGTGAGCTCGCCAGAAAGACAGAGAGAGACAGAGAGATAGAAAGCGAGAAATCACCCCCCAGGAGGGATGGCTATGCCACAATCCCTTCTCTTCCATTCTCCTCTCGGGATTTGGGCATGCACGCACACGCGCCTGACATGAGTTTAAGCCACTGGGTCCAGGACTCGAACCGTGGTCAATTATGTGGGAGTTCAGCGACATAGCCATTACTCTAACTGCTGGTCCCAAATAATATAATCTTAATCATGTTCATATATAAACTAATTCATATTAGAAGAAATTCTAATTTTTTAAAAATTTTTCTCTACTTACTTATCTTTATCCATTTATTTATTTTTATTTGACCACACAGGGATAGAGTGAGTGAAATTAAACAAGGAATGCTTTTGGATGTTTGCATTATTTATTTTTCTTTCTTCTTTTCTTTTTCTATTTCTTTTTCTTTTTTTCTTAACGTATTTTGTTTGTACGCTAATGTAGGTTGAAAACTTATAAATTAACTTATAAATTAGCTGTTTGTACTTGTCAAAGAGAGACAGAGAGAGGGAAAATGAGAAATCACCCCCTAGTGGGGTTGGCCACACCACAATCCTTTCTTTTTCATTCTCCTCTCAGATTTTAGGCATACACGCACATGCAACTGGTGTGATTTTCAAGCTGCCAGTTCAGGACTTGAACCACGCAGTTGACCATGTGGGATCTAGTGCCTTAATCTCCACACCAGCTGCTGGCCTGACAGTATTTAAGTCTAATTTTCCTACATGTATAATATACAATAAATTCAATGCCAATTTTAATATATTTAATTTTTAAGTATATAATTCTTTTTATATAAGCAAAAGTATATGAAATAAGCATATCATATGTAAGCATGTTTAATAAATGCATATTCAAACAAAATATCAATTTTGTAGGATGTTGTTTAAAATTTTCCATTGCATTATGAGCACTGACTCATAAAAGAAAATATTAATAAGAACATGATTTTTTTTTTTTGGAGAGGTTTTTGTTATAGGGCACGTGTGCTTGTCAAAAAGACAGAGAGAGACAGAAAGCGACAAGTTACCCCCCAGGGGGCATGACCATGCCACAATCCCTTCTACCCCATTCTCCTCTCGGAATCTTGGGCATTCACCCACACATGCCCAGTGTGAGTTTAAGCCACCAGGTCCGGGACTCGAACTGCGGTTGACTACATGGGAGTTAAGCAACATAGCCATTACGCTAACTGCTGGTCCTAAGAACATAATTTTTTAATGCATCATTTTAGTTTTTTGAGAGAGATTTTTGCTATAGGGTGCACGTACTTGCTGGAGAAAGAGAGAAAGAGAGAGAGAGACAGAAAGTGAGAAATCACCCACAAAGAGGGACAGCCATGTTGCAATTCCTTCTCCATTCTCCTCTTGGGATTCTGGATACACACTCACATGCACCTGGCATGCATGTTAAGTTGCTGGGGCAGGGACTTGAACCATGGTCAACCATGTCCAGCACCTTAACCACTATGCTACCTGCCCCTTCATGCATTATTTTTGATACGAGTTAACCTGTAGCTTATGCCAAGTATATTTAATGACTTCATGCATTTGGATTTCAAACAATGTTGAAAGCACTTACTTTTGAATTTTTAAATATATCTTAACAGAACCTAAAGGAGCAAGAAGAGATTTCAGAAGCTATGATAAACCTTGGCAATTAAATGCAAAGAAGCCCAAGAAATCAAAAAGTGACCTTGCTGTGTCTAATATTTCTCCACCATCACCGGACTCCAAATCATGTAAGGAAGCTTGTTATTCAGATGTTATTCGGTTTATGTAAGTCTATGTTAAGAAACAATTCTGTCTATTAATTCTAATGAAATCTACTTTCACTTCAGCATTCATGTTCTCTTCCCTTACTCACTATCATACATGTGCCATTGATTTAAACCTTGCTGAGTAATGAAGGATATATATTGCATGGATCAGATTTCTTGCCTCTCCTAGTCAGTCACATTGTATCACTTTCAAAACAGTACCAAACTTATTTAATAAAATGATTAGGTTGTCGGAAAAGTCATGTCATATTTTTGTATAGAAAAACAGAAAAAAATACGTGGGATTCCCTCACTGTGTCTGACTGAAGTCCGTGTGTGTATTCTCCCTGCCGTTGCCCTAAACATCCTTCTCTCTCAATGCCCCTCCTCGGTTAGCTCTCCTTCTGTAGCCAGTGGGAGTCTCCAGTGTTCCGCTTCCACTACATACATGTAGACATGTTAAATAGCTTAAAAGCCTATAGCAAAGCACAGTTATTTGTGGAAGATGAGAGCTAAAAAGCTTTTCTTTTTGTACACCAACTCCTTGTGCTGCTGCTGCTTCTTTTCTAGAGAGATTTTTGGGGCTAGCACATAGTGTAAATATTATGTTGCTGGACTCCCGCATGGTCAACTGAGGTTTGAATCCCAGAACCAGTGATATGAGTCCCAGACCTAGCCGCTTGAAACACACCAGATGCATGTGCATGCATACCCAAAATCCTAAGAGGAGAATGGAGGAGAAGGCATTGCAGTGTGGCCATACCCCCTCGGTGGTGATTTCTAACTTTCTGTCTCTCTGTCTATCTCTATCTGTGCAGGGAGTATACACACCCTAGAACAAAAATCTCTCTTAAAAAAGTGAGAGAGACTTTTGCCATAAGGAGTGTGCGCTCACCTGAGAGAGAGACAGTTACAGAGAAAGTGAGAAATAACCCCACCCCTCAGGGGGGATCACCACGCTGCAATATCTTCTCCATTCTCCTCTCAGGATTTTGGTCACTCATGCACACATGCTCAGCATGAGTTTCAAGCTACTGGGTCCATGACTTGAACTGCAGTTGGCCATGTGGGAGTTAGCACCATAACCACTATGCTACCTGTTGGCCCCCTCCTTGTGCTTCTTACAGAGTGAGATGTTTGATATTAATTTCTACAGAGAAAGGAGTAGATTGCAAACATTTATTTTTGTTTGAGAATGTTTGAAAATACACTGTTTTCTAATTGGAATCTCAATTTTATTTCAAAGTCACTGAAATGAATTCTGTGAGCATCCTCCTTATTATAGTGGCACTCACAAAAAGGATTATGTCAGTCACACTCAGTGCTTAGGAGAATTGTATGAAATATGGCAAACTTCAAATGTTCTTTAGAAATTAGGATTGTAGTGCCAGCTAGTGGCATGGTGGTTAAGGCAACTGGATCCCACATGGCCAACTGCATGGTTCAAGTTCCAGACCTGGCAGCTTGAGGAATACTCTGAGTTCCTGTGCCTGCATGCCCAAAACCCCAAGAAGACAATGGAGGAGAAGGGATTGTGGCACTTCCATGCCCTCACGGGGTGCTTTCTCATTTTCCCTCTCTTTCTCTCTCTCTGTCAGGTAAGTTCAACTGCCCTATAGTAAATGAAAAGGAAAATGAGACCAGTAAATAGAGTAGTGGTTACATTGCTGGACTCTTATGTAGTCAACTGTGGTTTGAGTGTGGGACACGGTGGCTTAAAAGTTACACCAGGCGTGTGTGTGTGTGTGTGTGTGTGTGTGTGTGTATGTCCAAAATCCCAAGAGGAGAATGGAGGAGAAAGGGTTGGGGCATGGCCAGCCCCTGGGGGGTAATTTCTCACTTTCTGTCTCTCTTTATATCTCTCTAGTCAGTGCGTGCACCCAATAGCAAAAATCTCTCTGAAAGAAAAAAAATAAAGAAAAAGCAATCATGTTTATAACCAAATTGTCCTGCTTAATCAGTTTGTTGCTAATTAATTAAATTAGATCATTATAGTTTCAAAATTTACATACTTAAAATTTGTATGTCTTGTTCACAACAAGAAAATAATAGCTAACACAGTGTTTGGTTCAATTAATAAATTCTAAATGATAAAATGAGACTCCAGTAAATGGAGTAATAAACATATTAAGAACAATAAACTAAATGAACATATTAAGAACAATAAAAAAATGAAGTCTCAGTCTTTCTTTCCATCATTGAAAGATCTCTTTCTCTCTGTCCATTGTCTTTCTATATTTTTTTCTGTCTTTCTTCCAATGAAGTCCATAGTCTCAGGGGATTACTAGTTTATAACTAGTTCATCACTGAGGGGAGAGTGCCAAAAGTCAACATCACTAAGAGATAGCACAAAAGGCCATCTGGTGGTACGGAGGGTAAGGAGGTTGAATCTCACATGGCCGACTGTAAGGCTCAAATCCTGGATCTAGTGGCTTGAAAAACACTCTAGGTGCACGTGCTCAAAATCACAAAAGGAAAAATGGAGGAGAAGGGATCGTGGTGTGACTTTCCTCCAAGGGGATCACTTTCTTACAGTTCCTTTCTTCTTGCTGTCTTTCCCAACGACTGCACATGCCCTTAGGTGAATTAAAATTAAAGAAAAAAGAAAAGAAAGACATAGTACAAAGTGCATTAATGAAAAAGTAACAGAGGAGTCAGCTGATGGCATCGCAGTTATGTGACTGGACTCCCAAATTGTCAGCTGTAATTCCAGCCCCAGACCTGGTGAAAATCATGCTGGCACGTGTGTGTGTGTGTGCGCCCAAGATCCCGAGAGGAGAATGGAGGAGGAGGGATTGGGGGCAGCCATCTCCTCTGGGAGGTGATTTCACACTTTCCTCTCACTGCCTCCATCTCTGTTTCCAGTTAGCACATGTGCTCCAAGGCTAAAACCTCTTTTCTTTTTATTTTTTCTAAAAAGAAAAAAAGATGCATTAAAATAAGTTGTGAAAAAAGTTCATCTTTTCCAAACAAAGACAGGACACAAAGAGCAGAGAAACAAAGGATAAATTGGAAAAATAAACATCAAACACCAAAGATGGTAGGCTTAAGCACAAACATACAAATATTGGATCGTTGGAAAAGTTGTGACATATTTTTCTATGCAAAAAGGCATAGTGATTTTCATGATGACCCAATAATTACAATAAATAATAATAAACTAAAGGTCCCATTAAAAAGCAAATATTGTCAGGCTAGATAGAGTTTCTTTCTTTCTTTTTAAATAAGAAATACACTTTAAATATACAGTTAGACAGTTTGAAACACTAAGGGTAAAGAAGCTAAAGTAATGTCAGATCAATCAGAATTCAAGCAGAAATGCTTTTTCCTGAGATAAAGAGGTCATCTCATAATGATAAAAGGTTATTTAACAAAGAATACAAAACAATACTGAAGTATGTTGATGCAAACATTTACAGAACTAAAAGGAGATGTAGGCATTTAGAATAAGTAGAGCAAAAAAATCACTAAGAAATGGATCATTTAAATAATACTATCAATCACTTTGAATTAATTGACATTTATAGAACACTATGCCCAACAAAGTTGAAAAATATGTATTTCTCATTTCCAGGTAGAGTATTCATAAAGATAGACAATACAGTATACCATAAAATAATGACTGAAGTTACACCAAGTACGTTTTCTGCCAAAAATTAAACTGAGAGAAAGAGAGAAATAGAGAAACACCCTCCACAAAGTCTCGTCAAGCCATAATCCCCTTCCTCCAGTCCTCCATCCTGTCAGATCTTGGGCACTCATGTGCCTGCCTGGGCATGTTTTCAGGTGGACTGGGCTGGGATTTGAATCATGGTCACCATGCAGGATTTGACTTCTCTTGAGTAGCACATTACTGCTGCACAATGGAACTGGCTCCAGTTTTTACTTCTGTGAAAATGGTTGGAATGTCTTATTTCTGATTTTAATAATTTGAGTCTTCACACCTCCTTTTTGTGACTCTAGCTAATGATTTGTTAATTTTTGTATCTTTATTAAAAAACTTCTGTTTTTGTTTTTCTGTCATTTTTCTATATCGTGTTCTATCTCTGTCCTAATTTTAATTACTTCTTTCTTCTGCTAGCATGGATTTGGCTTGTTCTTCTTTTTACTTCCTTAAGGTATAAAGTTGCTATTTATTTAACATCTTTTTTTCCCTTTTTTTAAAATAATTATTTAATTTTATTTATTGCATTATTTTATCTTTTAATTTGTTATAGGGCAGGTGTGCTCACCAGAGAGAGATGGAGAGAGAGAGAGATAAAACAAGAAAGTAAGTCATAGGTCTGGGACTTGAACCATGCTGAGCCATGTGGGAGTCCAGCACCTTAACCACTATGCTACTGATTGGCTCCATCTTTCTTCTTTTTTAATATGGGCATTCACAGCTATACATATTTATCAGAGCACTGCTTTCACTATACTACACAAGGTTTAGTATTTTGTGTTTTTATTTTTTAGATTCAAAGGATTTTCTTATTTGTTCTTTGTCCTGTTGACTGTATATAAATATGTTTTTAATTTTACCATATTTGTGAATTTTTCAGTTTTTATTTTACCTATGACTTCTAATTTCATTTTATTGAAGTCAGAGAAGATACGGAGTATATTTTCAATTCTTTTATATTTGGTCATTACTTTGTTTCTTGACATCTGATCTTTATTAGAGCATTTTCTTAAGTGCACTTGAGAATAATGTGAATAATTATATTCTCCTTTTAAGTAAGTGTTCTGTATCTGCTTGTTAGGTCTAATTGGCTTATAGGGTCCATGTTTTCCATGTCTTTATTGATCTTCATGTCCGTATCATATTTAAATGAGAGTAGAGTCTTGGGGGAAACTTCCAGGTAAAACCATTAGTATTTATTAAATTTTAGAAAAAACAGTTGAAAGATCTAAAGTATTGAAATTATTTTTGGTGAAAAGACATGGTAAGTGGTATCTTTAAAGTCATGTAGAGGAAACAATAAATTCATTTTAAAAATTATTTTACTGTAATTTCTAATGTACACATAATAATAATGTGTACTGCGGGTTGCAATATAGTTTTACAAAACAAGTATTCAATGTATATTAATCTTATCAGGGCAAAACAACACATCCACCATCTCCAGTATTTATCATTACTTGTGTTATGTGTATTTGAAATCTACTCATTTGGTTACTTGAAATACATATTGAATTGCCACTTACTTTAAATTTTTATCTAATAGATGGACCAGCAGTTAGCGTAATGGCTATGTAACTGAACTCCCATGTAGTTGACTGTGGTTCAAGTCCTGGACCCAGTAGCTTAAACTCACGCCAGGCACGTGTGCGTGTGTGCCCAAGATTCCAAAAGGAGAATAGAGGAGAAGGGATTGTGGCGTGGCCATCCTCCCCAGGGGTGATTTCTTGCTTTCTGTCTCTCTGTCTCTCTCTGTCTTTCTGGCGAGCGCATACGCCCTACAGCAAAAACGTCTCAAAAAACATTTTTTTTTAACTCATAGAAACTATTAGAAGTCAGAGTCAGAAAATTTGATATAATGAAGAATTTTTTTTAAAATGAGCTCTGCTCAATGTACCATAGGCTGTTTTGTGAAGAAGGAGCTTCATTTTGGAATAATGAGGGATATTATCTTTGAGGTGTTGGAGGTGACCCCTGTACTGGCATGAGTTTTGCCTCCTCCCCTCCCCTCCCCTGTCCTCTTCTTTCATTTCTCTATGCCCTTATTTTGCAAAGTTAAAAAAAAAGGAAGGGGTGGGGGCTGATCTTGTAGTATAGTGGTTAAGCCATGTGCACAGAGCACTGAATCCCCATGGCTAACTGCAGTTAGAAACTTGGCCTTGGTGGCTTGAAAAACTGGGCATGTGTGTGAGTGTGCCCAAGACCCTGACAGGATGGAGAAAAGAAGGGAAAAAGGATTGCAGCCTGTTCACACCGCACCTTTCTCTCTCTGCTCTTTGACAAACAAACAAAAAAAAAATAGAAACTTTGATGCGATATGGTAATTTTCAGGAAAATTAGATAATGCCGTGATGCAGAGGACAGATTCAAGAAATTATTCAAGGAAGGTAAATGGAAGTGCAGACATTATTTTGAAGACTCTGACATATACTCTTTACTTGTTCCCTTATTGAGCTTCTGTTTCTCTTAGGCCTGGGCTCATCCTTAGGAATTCTCTGGAGAATGGCCCGTGAGGTGATAGCAGTATGTCTGAACATGTTTTCTAGATCGATCACCGTCACCATCTGCTCTCTGATGCTGGAACACTGGCGTGTTCATAGCTGCTGTCTGGTCCCTGCGTTGTATATACAAAGAGATTCAGACAAGGCAGCTGCATCCTATTTTTAAATTTTATTTAAAATTTAGTGGCAATATTTGCTTATTTGACAATTTAAAAACTACAAATAAGTAGAAGGATAAATTGGCCCTCTCCCTTTTCCTCCCTCAGTTTCTACTCCTTTAGAAATAGCTTGTATCTTTTTACATCCTTTTCTTTGTAAATATGACATATGTAATATATATGTGTTGATTTGCTACATAAAGATGCCCTTGAACTGTACATATTATTTTTTATTCTTGTATTAGATTGACAATGTCAATCTGATGTTTATAGAACACAATGTCATATTTTGATAATGTGTACAATAGATAATGATCAGATCAGGATTATTAATACATCTGTTGCCTCCAACATTTATCATTTCTATGTGTTTGGGAATATTCAAAATTCTCTCTTCTAGTTTTCTTTCTTTTTTTTTTTTTTGGAGAGGTTTTTGCTATAAGGCACATGTGCTTGCTGGAGAAATCACCCCCCAGGGAAGATGGCCACACTGCAATCCCTTCTCTTCCATTCTCCTCTTGGGATCTTGGGCACGCACACACACGCGCTCAGTGTAAGTTTAAGCCACCAGGTCTGGGACTCAAACCAGTTGACTACATGGGAGTCCAACTACATAGCCATTATGCCATCTGCTGGTCCCATCTCTTCTAGTTTTTTTTAAAAAACATATAATAAAAATATCTACACTCCTGTGTTCATCGTACTACTATTTGCAATAGCTAAGATATGAAATCAACTTAAATGTTCATCAACAGATGAATGGATAAAGAAAATGTGGTATATGTACATGACGTAATACTATTGATCCATAAAAAAATGATTAAATCCTGTTGTTCATAGAAACATAGATGAGTCTAGAGAACATCATGTTAAGTGAAATAAGCCAGGCACAGAAAGTTAATTCTACATGTTCTCTCCCAGGTGAGGAGGATAAAAACATTGATCTCATGGAAGTGGGAAGCAAAATAGTGGTTACTGGTGGCTGGGAAGGGTGAGAGAGGAATTGCAAGAGCTTGGATAGACTGTACATATACTTCAGCAACTTGGTTGTGTTATTTAAAGATGCTTGGTGGAAATACCTTTCTGGTGGTAGATTTAACTTCTGCGCTATAAGTTATTCAGCCACTCTTCTGTTGCAGGACATTTAGCTTGTTCCCAGGGTTTTACTATCACTAACTGTTGCTGAAATAAATAAATAAAATCTCATACTTTTGGAGAAAATAAAACATCATAGATATAGATACAATTACAGTATTTTCATTTTTTTTTCATGATAACTTAATAGACATGATATTGCTGGGTCATGGGTTCAGAGCCTTTTTCATTGTATTAGATATTCCCAGATTACTTTGTCAGAAGGTGGCAGAAAGATATATTTAAATAGTTTAAGACTACTTCTTCCTATTTCTGTACCACATAAATCTTGTTATAATGTATTTTATTTGATTTTTATGAAAACAAAATGTGCATGGTTTAAAAGTAAAATAGTGTGAGACAGTTGCGTTCTTTCTACTTCCTAACTCTGCTCCCAACTTGGAGTTACTGTCATCTCTCGGCTGCTCTTTTGGTTGTAAAGTCTACATTTCCACACCAGGGACTTACACAGCTTTCTTGCTTTCAAATTCTAGGCCTCATCTCTTAACTTCCTCATACTTTGTGCTCATACTCCAACCCCCATCTCATTCAGGCAGTTATTTCAAATACTGCCTAAATATATACGCTGCATTGATGTTATTGTTAGATTAATTAACATTTTTTCACTGTTGAGCCCTATAACATCTGACTATTAATATTTTCCGAGAATTAATAATTTTCTGAGAATTAATAATTTCCTTGCTTTGCTAATTGCTTGGTTTTCATCACTAATGCTTCACCAAACCCTGCCGAAAGAAAGGAACCTCTATCCGATCTAACACATTAAGTCATCTTAGTTTTTGTTTTATTTTATGCTTGCTCTTTATTTCATATATAAATTTTAGAGACTTCTCTTTTGTAGTCTGTTCTTGGCTCATTTCTAGACTTTTTCTCAGCTGTCTTTTGAGACGGTCCTTCACTGTCAGCCTGAGAATTCCCTTTTCCTTTGTCTTGTGGGAGATCACCTGCTTTCTGATTCCGAGATTTATTTTTGGTAGAGCACCTCCACTGGGACCTTTCTGAAAAAGAGTGTTTGTGAGAGAAGTTTTTAAATAAGTATCGAGGTTGGTTCCTCGATTGGATCTAACATTCTTAAAGTAATCTTCAGTTGGAATTTTGAAGGAATTGCTCCCCTGTCTTCTGGGGCCAAGTGCTGCCATTAAATCTGATTTCAACTTTAGACCCCAAACAATTTTACATTCTTTTTCTTGCCACTGTTTTAAAGTTTTTTGTTGATATGCCCTAAATTATGTGGGATATTTAATAGATATTTTAAATCTGAACAACAACGAACTGTTTATATCTCTATTACTTTGATATTGTCTTCTTGGATTGATGCTTTCACATATAAATAGTATGAAATATTCAATTTCTTGGCATCCCACTCTTGAAAGACTTAGGTTTTAGTTTTCTCTAGTTTGCTAAATCCACTTACCACTCATTGGTGAATTTTGGATCTCCCCCCAAAAATGTTGCTATTTCTTGCCTAATAATGTTTTCACTCACTGTTTGACTAATTTATTTGAGAAAAAAAAATCCCCTTGACAGTAATGTATTTCAGTGGAAATTTAAGCAAGTAGATGTATTTAATCTTCTATATTTTTTAAAGAATATATAAGAACATGTTAGGAATATTACTAGCTGCTGTAGAAGATATTGTATTTTTCAAGCAACTAACATAATACAAGCAGTTAAAGTGTGTTTCCCTTTAAGTTACAAAAATAATTTGTTTTAAATTGATACCTTGATTTTCTTTTCCATAAATGTTGTCACATTTTCTTTACTTTTTCAATTAAACTATTTTCCTCAAAGCTGTCTTTATATCTTCTTTTCTGTTTACTTGTAAGAAAACTCATATGAAGATAAAGATTTTTTATTCTCTACATTGACCTTGGTACAGCCTTACACATAATGATGAATAGTGATTCGTATCGTTGTGTGGCATGCTTATGAAATAACCGTTTCTTTTAAACATAGTGCCAAGGTCAGTAGAGCATCCTAAGTGGAACTGGAGGACTAAACCTGAAAGCCGCGATTTTGATGAACTGAACCACATCCTTCAAGAAAGCAAGAAGCTGGGAAAAGCCCTTGAGAATCTCTCTCGAAGTAAGTTCATTTCCTTGATTTTAATTGAAATTTCTAGCCAGTATTAAGGCAGAAACATTCATTAGTATTGCCCGTAATCAGTCTCCAACTTTCTTCTTATAATGCCATGAGAGGCTGAGGCTTTCTAAGGTCATGAGATTGGAAACGAGATTAATTTTGCATATTGCAGAGACTCTCGGGTAGACTGATTACATAGAGCAGAAGGAGTTGTAGAACCCTCTCATAGCTCTTTGATTCCATCTTCTCTACTTGAATTACATTGTTTTATTTCTTTGTACCAATCAGAAGAAGAAGATATAAGTTTGTCTTTGTGTTCGGAGATGAGAGAATCAGGGCTCATAGAGCTTGATTGATTTATCCGAGGTCATTCTCCTTGTAGAATACAGAGCAAAACCTCTAACCTAAGCCCTCACATCACGAAATCATCACAATTCTGTTGCCTACTGGTATCTTCTTCAATCTTTTCTTTTGAGACACAATATTTTGTGTCCTTCTAGTTAATACACATACCTACTGCCTCCATGAGTTTTTGATGTCTCTGAACTTTTGTGGAGTAGTAACTGGGCCAAATTTTTCTTAGAATCCTTTCAGAACCTAGCACAGTGCCTTGTAATTTGCCTTTTTATAAAAGCAGTGACTCTGGTCTGAGGGCTTAGGCTAGAGGTTTTGCTCTGCCATGAATGAAGCGAATGACCTTGAGTAAATGATTTAATCTGGCCAACCCCTGTTTCTCTCGTTTCCAAAGAAAAAAGATAAGATTGCATCTCCTTCTATTAGGTGTGTAGGTTTAAAATGATACATTGCAAATAAAAACTTTTATATAAGTGCTGTCATGACAGTAGGCAATCAAACAGACTGGCAAAAGCATTTTATATATATAGATGTTTTAAGGTCTTAGTCATGAGTTCAAAGCATTCCTATCTTTCTCTGGTTCAAGTATTTCTCAATTTAAAAAAAATAGGCACCTTTAGAAGAATATTAACACTATAACCACTCTAAAATTTTCTTTTGGTTTCATGGAATATTCTTTCTTTCTCTTCTTTCTTTCTTTTCTTTTTTCTTTCTTTTTTTTGCCATGTAGTAGTCTTAAATAGCAAATCTTTAGAACACTAGCAAAGTCTAATGAAGTATATTTAGAATCTCTATTTTAAGTTTTTATTCATTTATTTTGAGAGAGAGAGAGAAGCATGCCCAGCACATTGTTCATGTTGTGACTCACCCCTAATCTCAGCCTGTGTAGATTGCTATTCATTTATTTTGAGAGAGAGAGAGAGAGAAGCATGCCCAGCACATTGTTCATGTTGTGACTCACCCCTAATCTCAGCCTGTGTAGATTGCAGACATGTGCATGCCTGGCATTTAAAGGAAGGGCCTGGGATATGAATGCAGGACCATCCCATGTGAGTCTACCATCTGGATCTTGGTGTTTTTTTAGATAACATAGTTTTAGTGATTTTAGTGATTTCATGTTTCATATCAATGTTAACATTGCCCCTTGCTACATTTTGGGAGAATTCATTTTGTTTGCTCTTTATGTAAACAAAACGTGTGTGTATACATATAGTGTTCTAATTATGTATTATATGTATAAGACATATAATACAATAATTATAGAGCATTGAACACTTTTCAGAAGTTAAACAACCTTATAATAGGGTCTCGTGACTTTGTTTTCAGTATAAGCCCTTTGGATAGATTCAAGAAAAATCTGCTTTTGGCTATATTTGCTTTCGGGGAAAATATTAAAGTTAGTTCTGTGTTTTTTATGATATTATGTTCATGAAGAGAGTCTGATCCTATTAATATTTCAAAAACACATATTAATGTTTGTAAGTCTATCCTTTTTGGCAGAACCTATAGTTTTTTTTTTTTTTTTTTTAATTGAGAGCTTTTTGCTATAGGGCGTGCGTGCTCGCCAGAAAGACAGAGAAAGACAGAGGGACAGAAAGCAAGAAATCATCCCCCAGTGAGAGTGGCATGCCGCAATTCCTTCTCCTCCACTCTCCTCTCGGGATCTTGGGCATGCGTGCACATGAGGCCGGTGTGAGTTTAAGCCACCGGGTCTGGAACTCAAACTGTGATCAACTACATGGGAGTCCAGTGACATAGCCATTATGCCAACTGCTGGTCCCAGAACCTGTACTTTTTACAGCTTCTTAATTTGTCTGATGATACGTGCTAAAAGCAGGATGTTTGAAGTATTCACCTGATGATTACAAAGGTCTTCAAATATGAGGGGTCCTCAAAAAAGTTTATAGAAAATTGTGTGTTAGGAAAAAACTGCACACAGATTTCAAGATATTTTGCACTCAAATACACTCACACTTTAATTCCATTTTCAAGAAATTTTTCTAAGTTCCCTTGTATACTATTAGTCAAATTCATCCTTAAAAATGTAATAATTACCTTGTAAATACTTGCTATATTGTTGTTAATGTGTACAGTACTATTTGATCTGTCTTGAAGCTTTTTAATAAAGGGATTTGACTGCATTTCAATTATGTACCTGCCCAGATTTATAGCAGAAATTTCAGAGTTTAAGTTATGGTCTGTCCCAGAAAACTTAGTATGGCCATATTGTTGTGTTAGCCTATTTGAGGCACTGTAACAAAACCCCATAGACTGAGGAGTTTATACAAAACAGGCATTCCCCACTGTTCTGGAGTTGGGAAATCTGATGTCAAGGTGCCGACAGATGAGTTGTCTGGTGAGGGCCCATTTCTTCTCTCATAGCTCACATGGTGAAGGGGACCAAGGCAGCTCTCTAGGGCTTCTTTCACAAGGGAGCCAATCCCGTTCACGGGGGTGGTACCCTCTTTACTGAATCACCTCTGAGGCCCCATCATCTAACACCATCACATTGAAAATTAGGTTTTAACATTTGAATTTTACAGGAGGCATTCCACAACCCTTAGGATTACCCAAAGAAACTAGCAGGTGAGTCAGCACATGGGCCATAACAGGGTGCAATAATCAGTTCCTGTGTTTATGGCAGAGAGCCATTTTGGTCTATTATTTTAATTTGAAAAATTCTTTTTTCTTAGATTTTTTTTTACCATAGGATGCATGTGCTCATAAGAGAGAGATAGTGAGAGGGGGAAGGTAAGAAATCACTTCCCAGAGGGTCTTTTCCTAGATTTTTTTTACCATAGGGTGCATGTGCTCATAAGAGAGAGATAGTGAGGGGGGGAAGGTAAGAAATCACTTCCCAGAGGGTATGGCCATGCTACAGTCTCTTCTCTTCTATTCTCCTGTCAGGATTTGGGGCATACACACACACATCAATGCACCCAGTGTGTTCTTCAAGCCACCAGATCTGGTACTTGTGTAAAGCCAGACATGTGGAATCTGGTGCCTTAGCCTCCATGCTACCTGCTGGCCCAGGGACTCTATTATTTGATGGTATGGTAGTGGGAATGTTTATGGGCAAGTTGAAAGGACGGTTGGTCACATACAGAAGAATTGCTCTCTTCTACTTTTTCTTTTTTTAAATGCCAGAAGGTGTGTGTGTTAGAGAGAGAGAGAGAGACAGACAGACAGACAGAGGGAGAGAGAGAGAGAAAGTGAGAGAAATCACGAGCAGGGCCTGGTCATTCCTCAGTCTGTTTTCCTTCACTTCTCTCATCTCTTCAGGAGCCTGTGCCAGTTGTCTTGGTGCTAGTCCTGGGATTTAGACCATTGTTGTCCATTTGGAATCCAGCTTCATTTGCAGAGTGCTTAACTGCTGTGCTGAGGCTGCCTGGAATTGCTCTGTTTCTTTAATTTAACTGAGACTCTTTCAAAACAGAATCATATGTTCTTGTAATGACATGGGTTTCTATGATTTTCAGTATCTAAAGGTTTTTTAAAGTTTTTTTTTTTAAATTTACTTCATGAGGGAAAAAGAGAGAGACAAACAGAGAGACAGGCACCCACAACAGATTCTGTGATGTGATCCACTCCCAGTCTCAGCCAGATCGGATCATGGGCATACATGTGCATACCAGGGTGTTCAGGGAAGTCCTAGGGCAGGAAGCGAACCCAGGACCTTTCCCATGTGGGTCCAGTGTATTACCATTGTGCCACCAGGTTTCAAACCTGAATTTTCATATGGAATCTTTGTTTTTATCCACCATATTCTAACTATCAAACTACTATTATGTCTTTATGGTCAGTTTACATAATTAGACATACAGCTTTGCTATTGGGTTGTAAAAGTCAGGACGCATTTTTACATAGAAAAACAAAGAAATACATCATGTCTTTTCTGATGCCCCAATATTTACTGATGTTTATTGAGCAGTCAAGTTGCTCAGAATTCACCCATATTACAGACCTAGTTCTTTCATCATCCTGAAGCAGTATGTAATTTATTCCTTTTAAGAAAGTTTTAATTGTCAGAGAGTTCATGCATGTGCTAGAGAGAGAGAGAGATGAAGTGAGAAACACCCCTGCCCCCCAATCAAGCCTGGTCAAGGCATAATCCCTTTCTTATTTCTCCATCTTAGCTAGATTTGGGGCACATATGCACACACTCCTGGTGTGTTTTCTAAGCTACTGAATGGAGCCAGGATTTGAACTGTGGTCAGCTGAGCGTGATGTGACTTGTGATACACAAGGCTTAAGCTCTGTTCTGTGGAGCCAACCAAACCCAGAATATAACTCAGTCATATCTGAACCTGTTTGACTTTTACAATAGTTTCAGATTAGTAAATTTTACTCCAAATTAATAGTAATTGTATTATAAATTGTTGTAAGTACTAGGAAGACATAGAGGATGGAATATTCCTCTAGATATGGTCAAAGCGAATACTCAGTGTCTTGATGTAGACCTTTCTCTGGTGTCATAGCCATCTATGGGCAAGTTGAAAGATTTTAGTGCTCTTCTAATTCTAATACAGTCGCTGATGAAAATTCTTTGCTTTATCTTAGTTGTACATTCTAAGAAGTTCTGTGTATTTTACAAGTAGTATTTTTTAGTTGAGATTGGTAGAAAATAATCATTTACATTCCTCAAAATT